TTTAATGTGTGGTGTGTGTGTGTGTGTCGTGTGGTGTGGTTGGTTGGTGTCTGATAGTATGGTGATAGTTGTTGTAGGCTGTGATGTTGTGTCACACAGCACCACACATCGCACACACTACACACACGATCACGGACATTGGTGGTGGGTGGATGTTAGATTGTGTGATGTGCTGGTGATCACCATCACATTGTAGGGTGTTATAGTTGTGTTATGCGTGTGGTGTATGTTGTTGGTGTCGAACTATGACATCAGCACTACACATCAGCAATGTGTGGTGTGTTGGGTGTGTGTGTAAGGTCACTTACATACATACCGATTAATTTATGTATAGTTATTCACACACAATTGCACATGTATCAAAGGATATTATCTTATTGTTTGTACAGCGATTCTGGTACTTATACGTGATAGGATTAATAATACACACACACAACACACTACACACTACACACCACACACACGGTATCATGTAAGACAAACATATATATATATATATAGTATATAATATATTTAATATATATATAATATAATATACATACACAACACACACACACCCACTATCACACACACACACACACATACACATTAACTAACACACGATAGATATATATCATATAATATATAATTTACATATATTAATGATTATATATATTTAATATTAGTATATATATTATAAAGTTTAAGTTTACGAGAGAGAGAGAGTTAGGTAAGAGAGGAGAAGTAGAGGGGATGGGGGGGAAAGGGAAGGGTAGAGGTAAAGGGAGGGAAGGGAGAGGGAGGGAGTGGAGGGAGGTAGTAGGGAGTGGAGGAGGAGGTAGGATTGAACGAGAGAGAGAGAGAGAGAGAGAGAGAGAGATTGAGAAGAGATGAAAGAGAGAGAAGAGAAGTTAAGAGAGGAGAGAGATAGAGAGAGAGAAAGAGAAGAGAGAGAGAGGTGAGAGAGAGAGAGAGCAGAGAGGTAGTAGATAGAGAGAGACAAAATAGTATTAGAGAGAGGGAGAGAATAGATGAGAGAAGAGAGAGATAGCCGAGAGGTTAGAGAGAGAGAAGAAATATAATATAATAAGGGGGGTGGATTGTGGAGATACGGAGATTATTGAGATATATAGTGAATAAAGATTGCATTTTGAGAAAGAGAAAGGATATTAAAATATTGTAAATAGGAGAAGAATAGAATGAATATAATACATTATAAAGACATATATATATAGAATAGTAATATAACAGAATAGTAAAGATGGAAGTAAGAGGGGGAGCGATAAGAGAGAGGCAAATGAACAAGCGAGGTGGGGTTGCATATATAATATGTATATATATATACATAATAATAACATTATGTAATTATATGTGTATGGTATATGTATAAAATATAATATATAATATATATATATATATATATGTGTGTGTTTGTGTGTGTGTGTGTGTGGTGGTGTGAGTGTGTGTGTGGTGTGTAATTGTGTGGTGTGGGGTGATATATATAATATAATATAAATATATATATAAATATATACTAATATATAAACAATAATATATATATATAATATAAGTATAATAATTATTTATACACTGCATTGCTACATGCACCAAAACACGCAACAACCAAAACAACAAGCAACAAAACCTCCTTGGGAGACAGGGAGGTGGCGTGGGAGGGACAAGGCGACGAAGGAACTGCGAGGGACGCCGACGGAAGAGCTATTGGGAGGGAGTATTTGGAGGGGAAAATTGGGGTCACTAGTGTGCGAATCCATGGGTAGCCAAAGTTTGCCATTGGCTGTCTCCCCTTTAAAGCTGTAAGTACAAGTCTTTCGCTGGCGTTTACATGTGTGCGTGTGTAGACCCGTGGGATGCTTTCAGCATGTGCGATCGTGACTATTTAAGTCGTAAGCTACATCTCGTGTTAATTAATTATCTCCTGGTTCAAATTAGACTGGATACTTGTGATTACTCCTCCTACACGCCCTTGGCACCAGTGAATGACAGTGTAGATTGAGTTTCATGGTTCTCTTTGCGCATAAATTGATAGGCCTTTATACGCCCACTTTCGTAACAGCTGTGACGGGTCCTTGTGTAAGTTCATCACGTAGCTGAACCATGGTGGGGTAACGGGTTAGATTAATTCGGATACAAAAATGCGTTCATTAGTTTGTCCAGTGCCGATCTAGAGCCGTGTTGAAGCTGATGTATTCAAATAATAAATACTATTTGTTCAGGCCTACACTACAACTGCGAGTTACGGCATGTGGTGCTAGCTGGCAAGGATCCCGTTGCCATATGGCGAGCATTATCTTGTTTTGTAATGTGCCAGATACTGGAAGAATGTATCACAAATACTTGTTTAAAATAATACACAGGAAAAGAAGCCAACTATGGAATTCAGACCGTAGATGCGAGGTGGAGGCAAGGTGATTACGAAATAAAAGGAGAGTAAAAGGAAGTTCCGGGAGGTATCTGGCATCGGCGCGTGTGTTCGTGCGTCAGGGAACGTTCAAGAACAGTAGGTATCTCGCCGGGCTGGAGGAAGGATATGTGCGGCTCGCGGCTCCTGCCTCTTTAAACCGCTACCGTCTCCGGAGTGTACGCAATTCTAGTCGTGTTAGAGAGTCATTATGGTCTGTGTGAGAGGGCACAGGTGCGTGTATGATAATAGATGAGTGTTTAGTAGCAAACTAGTGTTGCATCGAAAAGAAAAAAAAATTGAAACCCACGTTACCTCTATATAAAAGAACGTGTCAAGTGGGCCAAGTAGAACAGGCCCTAAAGTGCCTTATATTCACGTCAACACACAAATACAGACGTTCACACACGTCGATACACGCTTGCGTATTAAGGGAATAAAGTATATGTAGGAAAAATAAATTTTGTTCGCATGTTTTAAGCGAGAAAAGAAAAAATTAAGAGGTGCCGACACATTTCAGTTTTATTTTTATTTTTTGAATTCCTGGTGAGGACGAATCAACTCATTTTGTCTTGTTATTGTATTAATTTTATTGTTGGGTTAACGAAACAGATAGATAGGCCTGCTGGAAGTAAGAGCACATCGAGTGTAGGCCTATTCTGCGCCCATGTTGACAGCGATGGTTGCTGGGCCGGGGCCGACGTACTATATGGACGGGTCCACGCACACCCAATCCGTCGATGTCATGCACCAAGCACAGCTGGTGCCCTCAGCTGGTGGCGCGGTCGTGGTGGCACAGCAGGCTTCGCCGCAGCAGTCGCAGCAGCAGCAGGCCAACGGCGGGGGCGCTGGCAGCAACAGCAGTAACAGCAGCAGTCCCTCCACCAACAACAGCTCTGCGAATGATGTTGGAGGAGGAGGGGGAGGCGGGGGGGGGGAGGGGGGCGGCGGTGGCGGTGGAGGGCAACACCATCACACCAGTATACGCCGCCGCCGGCCATGGCCCAGGGCCCGCCGCCCCTACTGCCCCCCGAGTTCTATGGGGGGCGATGCGTACTACCCCGGTCCCCCCGCCCGAGTACTGCCCATCGCACTTGTGTGCTGTCCACGGCGTAACAGGTAAGGATCCAGACGAAGCTGCCCCGGGCGCAGGACCCAACCTAGGCCTCCACGGCCCTCGGTGTCCTTTCGCCGCCGGGAGGGCGACTTCGCTACGAAGCCTCGCCTACTCTTCCCCCTCTCCCTACGCCCTTTTCCTCCTTCCTCCTCTCAATTATTTTTCTCCCCTTGCCCGCCCCCCCTTCTCTCTCTCTCTCTCTCTCGTCTCTTCTCGTGTCGTCCGCTCATCGTCCTTCTCAGATCTCGTCTCTCCTCCTAATGTCTGCTATTCTCTTCGGTCTCTCTCTCTCATCTTCGTCTCTGTCCTGTCTGTCTCTCTCTGTCTGTCCTCTCTCTCAGTCTCCTCTGCTCGTGTCGTCTCTTCGCATCTCTCTCCTCGTTGCTCTCTCGTCTCTCTTCTGCTTCTCATCCTCCTTCTCTCTCTCTCTCTCTCGCTCGTCTCTCTCGTCTCTTCCTTCGTCTCTCTCTCTCTGTCACCTCCTCTTCGTTGGCTCAGTGTCTGTCTCTACTCTCTCTCTCGTCTCTCCGTCTTCTCTCTCTCTCGTCCTCTCTTTCCTGTCTGCTGTCTCTTCCGCTTCTCTCTCTCCTCCTGCCGTCTGTCTGTGTCGGTCTCCTTCTCTCTCCGTCACTCTGTCACCCATCCTCTTCGCTCTGGTCTGTTCCTCCTACTGCTCTTTCTAGTTATCTCTCGCTCGATCTCTCTCTGTCT